TTTGGCTTTTTGCATTTTTCCTCCCCTGCCACTGCCACTGCCACTGGTAAGGCTTCTGCTTTTCCTTTTCTTGGACTCGTCTTCATCTTCCCAAGTAGCAACAATTCCCGCGGGCATATCATCTGCTCCATCACTGGCTTGGAATTGGTTTTGGCCAGGCCCTCACCTCCCGTTTCATTTGGTTTTCACTTCGGTTTTTATGTTCACATCCCCTTTGGAGACGCTTTCGACCAATTTCCCTTCATTTTCATTCTTTTTTCGCATTTCTTAATCATTTTTGAGTGTCTTAATTTAAGCTGTATGCTCTGGTTTTAATTCCGACCCCTAACTGGTCCTGATAGTATCATTAGCATTTCTGCAACTCGTGCCTCTCCACCTCGTATTCGTGGACTTCTATAAATTGCTTTAATACTTCGGAAAGCGAAAGGTAAAGCTTTATATTTTATATATTTTTCCTTAATATTCTGACACTGTTTATGAGGCTGCTATATTTATAGCCATGGCCTGCAATGTTTATCTTAAGCTGGCATCGTGATGGCCTCATCATATTCTGTCTTGGCTGCAACATTTTTCAACACCACAATACGATGATCGTTTATCAAGCCAGCCATGGAGTCAAGAGCCAGTCCGGCCCGAAAGGATCAATGATGGCCAAGAAAAGAGAGAGCTAGATGGTCGCAAAGGTGCGAATAAATTACGCACATCTGTCAACTTTTGAATTAGCCATTAAGGCGCAAAATGTGCAACATTAATAACTGACACCCGGAGGCTTGATTTGATTCGCAGAGCAGAGGACCTACTCTACCGCTCCCGACCCGTCGATGTCCCCAGTGCTATGTCAATGTCAGCGTCGGACAAAAGTGGACAGTCGGTAGCCGGTGGACGATCCTCGCCTGAATACTGAGCAGTTGCGCCTGCGCAGAGTCCTAATTGAAAGAAATTACTTTGAGTCGACCATGTCATTTGTCACCTTTTTGTGTTTGCCGGACTGGGCTCTTGGCCCAAAGTGGTTTACTTAACATTTTTCCCATTTTGTCGGTGTTCTTATGATTGAAATTAATACCCAACAAGCCTTGTTCTTTGCTGATGTGGGAGGCGTAGTGGGTGTACTACAAAAAATGGTGAATAGATGAATAAATTAAATAGTACTTTAAGACTTGAGATAACCCCAGGAAGTGCTTTGAATCAATCAATCACAAAACAATTAATTCCGCTTCTATAATCAAACCGACATTGCTCACATTTGACAAATCAAATGACATTCGAGCTGAGAATCGGCAAAAACATTGACCAGACAGACAGGTGAGTGGCGATGACAACACGGCAACAGCAATCACATTCCTGGCAGGCGGCTCATTGCGGTTTTGCGAAACGGCTAACAGCGACCAGCAGCCATCAGCCACAAAGCAAATGGCTCAGACCACCTGACCAGGTATCAGGTACCTGATGGGTGTTAACCGGTGGCATTGAAGGATTCACGACGTGACAATGTCCCAGTGCCCCCTACCCCTCCAGGACATGTGGCCATAATGTGGCTCTCCAGCTAAACGACGTGCAAACAAACAGAAAAAAAAACTAAAACTGTTGCTGTCAGCAGCAAGGATGGCGACAGCAACAACATCCAGCCATAAACTTGAAGTTGACAATTGTAAAAAGTCCAAGGCACATGTGAAATGATAGCTACCAGCAACAACAGCAAACAGCAAACATCAACATCAACAGCAATAGAAGCAACAAAAAAAACAAACAAACAAACAAGAGGCAATCATAAAATCAACAACTATGAAATTCATCACCGCTCGGTGAAAAGGCTCGCCTCGTTGACACTTCCGCCTCGCTTTGGAGTTTGGACGAGTGTATAAAGACTCAACTGGATTTGGATCGGCCGACACACCGACAACAAGTTGTTCTTGTTGTTGTTGTTTCTGTGGCATCAACACTAGACAGAAGGCCCAGCCACCAGCAATGGCAGCAACATCATCACTCACGGACAGCAACAGCAGCAGCATCAGTACAACGGTGACGGGTAAGTGAAATTAATTGCATTGTTTTTGGCCAATGAATTCCTAGTTGCCAGTTTTTGTTTTCGGCTTAAACGCCTTGACGCCTTTTTGCCAAAACAACTACGGGAACAACACAAACAACATGAAGAGCACAGGGCCATTCACACAGCGGCCACAACGCGTTCCTCTCGGTTCAACTCCCATTCCTGCACCAACTCCCCAGTCCTGCCTGCCTGCCTGCCTGCCTGCCGCTTTGTGACACTTTGCAGTTCATCACATGTGATTGCCGCAGTATGTTGCACAAAACATTCCCAGGGCACAGTGGTTATGGATACTTCAAGAAACTAAATGGTTGATATTAAATATCTATTTTATTATTATAAGAATTGGTAGAATGGGAGGTACTATTCCTCCAAAGTTATTTTCTACAATTATTTTTTAATAAAGCCTGAGTCACTGTTCCCCCCTTGGACGTTGCTCTCATTGCTTTATCGCGCCTCGACCCAACTCCGGCCTCCAGCGGCAGTTTCAGTGCCACAACCCATACCCCTAACACTATTCCAAATCCAAATCCGTAACCATCTCTGGGCCAACTCCCACTCTTAGCCAGCAGTCTCTTCTCGGTGGCTTGTTAGTTGCCATCATCAACATGTTGACATGTCTATGACTGCATGCATATGTGTGTGTGTGTGATGCTGACATACTGTTTGTGACAGTGTGTGTGGATGCTTGGTGTCCTGGCTGTCCTGGATGTGTGCTTGTGCATTGCAATGCGCTAACCAAGCTCAACAGCGTTTATCACTCATGCTTATGGTCTTGTTTTTGCGGTGATATATCACACTTGACACTCATTCATTCAGTTTCGGAGTTTAGTGTTTTGGGCTCGTTATGTGCCACACCCGCCACATGCTGCATGCCCCATACCCCATGCCCCATGCCCCATCCATGCATTCGTTCCTCTATTTGAATTTCATCACATTCTGAGGCAGCAATGCGAACATAAACTTTCTCTTTCCCCTCGAATATGCGGCTCATTGTTTTTTGGCAATGGCAATTGCATAGTTAACGGTCACACAAATATCGTTAGGAATACACTTGAAAAAAATATATATTTTTAAAGTATTTGAATGCCAATTTCAATCAAAAAATTAAGAGTGAGTTATTTCATATTTTATCTCTCATCTATAATAATTCATCTATAATTCTCATCATCATCTCATCTATAATTTTATATAAAGTCCCCAGTGTTTTTCTCAGTGTTAGATCCCACAATGTCATTGCCACTTTTGGTGGCTTGATGAATGTTATCCTCCGTCCCGCCCCCCAACCTTGGACTCCTTTGGAGCTGATGTTGTTGTTGATTCCCAGTGTCTCTGCTAATTTGTTTGGCTGGGAGTGGCAAGTGGGTGGATGTGGATACGGGAGAAGGTACAGGAGCCATCCATCTACTCTGGATCACTCACATTCAGTTTTGAATCCAGTTTTGGGGTTATTTTTTACTCTATTTTGTGGGTATTTGTCTTACTGTTGGTTCTGTTTGTTTTTCAATTGCTCCACAAATGTTTATGCAGATGAATTGTATTTTGAGTTGTGTTTTTGTCTGCTCCACTGGTAGACAACTGGAGAGAGAGATGGATGATGAGGCGGTGAAAGAGACAACATATACGTTAAGGACTCAAAACATTCATATTGGAAAATGTACATAATTACTTGACTTTTTTAATTTTAAATTTAAAAATATTTAACCTTGAAAGTATTTAATATTTCAATGCCCTTCCCAGATGCCTTGTTGCATTCAAATTAATTGAAATCTCCAAAGTTGAAGAAAAACCACCTGAGGCTGTCGAAAAATTTACCAAAAATTTCTGACAGATACCTTTAACCCGAAACTCGTAAACATTTGCCAAAACCATAATTTGTGTTGTGTGCAAATTGTTAGATAGATTCCATTTAACTTTTGGCTTCACCCGCTTGCCCAGGTAGCTGCCATTCAAATCTACGGACCGTTGCTGCTGCAGTTGGATATCTGAGAGTATCTGGGCGCAAATGTATCTGTATCTGTGCCTGTAATTGTGAATGTGATGGCGTCTAAATTTAAAGGCAAATGGGAAATGCAATTTTATGAAAGGGTGTGGCGGGGCAGTTTGGGGGGGGCAGGGTGGTTGATGCTGAAAGAACTGGCGCCTGGATTTTTATGGCGTTTGGCGACATCGGTGTCGGTGTCGTTGTCGTTGTTCTGGTAGCCGTTGTGGTTGTCGTCTGGACGCGTCCGTCACCGCGCCAAAAGGTGTCAGGAAATTTTTTGCATTCTGCATTTTTTGACAGATGGACGGGACCGGAGGACAGTGCCACGGGTGGGGTATCCGGGGAGTCGCGAGGAAGTTGCAACTTGTGATAAAAATCGTGTGTCAATTCGATTTGTGACGTTAACCGCTGCCTAAACAACAACAACAAAGGCAACATTTTGAGAATTTCAAAGGGGTGGGGGAGGGGGTACAGGCTTGAAAATGTTTCTGTTGCAATAGAAAAACGGACGCGTTACATGACATTTGTGGCAGCGAATTGGCAGCTTCCACAGCCTGCCCCGTTGAATGTAATCGCCGAAGCCTGAATGACGGTTAGCACTTTTAAAGGAGAGTTGAGTGAGAACTGAACAGTCATTAGTAGAATTAAAATTAAAGAAATATTTGTAGATGATATTTAAGATTATTTCCATTACATATCATAGCATCAGCTCTTGCAAGTATCTGTGAATTTTCTGTTTGAAAAAATCGAAAATCGTATACAATGAAAACGAAATTTCAAAGTAACAGTTTCCATGCTAAGCATATCCGCCTGGATGGACGTCGTCTCAGCTATCGCCCGATTCCAGGACATAGTTTCGCCAGGAGGCAGCGTACCTTGGGCGATCATGATCGGTCCAAGGCAAGAAAAGTATTCGAGTTTTTCAAAATCGTCATCCTTGTGTTTCTGTGGTGCTGCTTCACCTTTGTGATCATGACCGACCCCCTTGACAAGGTCACCTTTAGGACGATCGGAGTAATGCCCAATGAAAGCATCGTTAGCTTTGTAGAGCCCACCTGGAGTGTGGTGAAGATCACCGTGCGAGGCGCCATTAAATCGAAATACGAGCAGACTGGGAGTGAGGATCTGGGACTGCGGCTGGAGTGGCGCGACTCCGACCTGAATGTGATCTATCACCATACGTCAATGTGGTGGATTAGCATGGCTGAGGATGAGGAAAAGTTCGATGAGGATTTCAGAAGCTTCAAATTTCCGCCCTCGAAGGAGCCGGGTGCCAAAGCGGTGATCAGCATTGAGAACAAAAGAGATAAGCCCTCATCCCTGGTAGTGGAACTCAAGTCCTTTCCCGACGTTTTCGAGTGGGGCATAGTCTGCGCCATCATCATGCTCCTAACCCTGCAGATCCTTATTATCTGGGAGCTCATAGACCGCGCCTTTGCTGCCCTCCTCATGGCCAGCACCGCCGTGGGAGTCTTGACTTTCATGGCCGACCGACCCATGCTAGCTGCGATGATGACCTGGATCAATTTTGAGGCATTGATGGTGCTCTTTGCACTGAACCTACTGGTGTCTGTGATGACCGAGGGCGGATTCTTTGAGCTCGTGGCTATATCGGCCTACAAAAAGTCCAGGGGTCAACCTTGGCCATTCGTTTTGATCCTCTGCTCGTTCACAGCCATAATGTCTGCTGCCCTGAACAACGGCCTTGTCGTCTTCGTGATGTGTCCCCTTACGATTCAGTTGTGCGAAATAATGGGCATCAATGCCCCACTGGTCCTCATGATCCTGGTAATGTCCGCCAATCTGGGTGGAACCCTGACACCCATTGGCCAGCCACCTAACATCAGCTTGGCCTGTGATTATGCCGTCCAAGCCGAAGGCGTTGTCTTTGGCAATTTCGTACTCCACATGATGGCTCCAGTGATAGTGGCCATCATAGTATTCTTCCTGCTGGTTCGCTGTATCTATGGAAAGAAGCTCTTACAACTGAACGATGACCAGGATGACTTGGAGCTCCCTGAGATCACGAATCAAGTGAAAATCGCTGCTGCCGTACTTAGGGAAAGCGACAACAGCAAACACCTGTTCAAGACGGCGCCAAACTTCTACGAAAACTTGGTTGTGATTGAGGAAACCTTCACGAGTCCCAACAAGTGGCTTATCGTCAAGAGCATGATTGCCCTGGCCTTCGCCTTCGTCCTCTACATACTGCACTCAATTACAGGCTTGGCCCCAGGTGCCTCGCTGGGCTGGGCTGTTATTCTGGCCTCGTTCCTGCTACTGATCCTGGCTAGCTCCATCAGCTTCCTGCACATGATGGACCGGGTTCAGTTCTCGCTACTGTTGTTCCTCGCCGGGCTTTACGTCTTGGTGGCCGCAGCAGACGAATTGGGATTGTTCGCCTGGCTGGGGGAGGTGACCACCCAACAACTCCAGCAGTTGGATGAACATTACCGGGCGGGGATGGCCACGTTGATCTTACTGTTGTCCAGCGCCCTGCTCACCATCTTCATTGACAACTCCTGCGTGACCATATTCATGATGAAGCTCCTCCGCCAGTTAGTCGATCAAAGTAATGGCCAAATTCCGCTGACGCCCCTGATCTGGGGCGTGGCATTTGGTGCCTGTTTTGGTGGGAATGGATCGCTGATCGGTGCCTCCTCCAATGGGATCACTGAGCTCATTGCCCGCGCCAATGGCTACCGGATGACGTTCTGTAGCTTCTTTGTATTTGCATTTCCCCTGATGCTCGTCACCCTTGTGATTGCCATTATTTACCTCTCGATTTGTCACCTGGTATTCAGTTGGCACTAGCTCCTCGACTATCCTTAAATATTGCAATAAATTCTGATGTAAAGACCAGAAATATCAACCATCATCACCATGGCAGCTGCAACAATGTTACAGCCGCCAAGGGGGTTTCCATCTCAGGCCTACATTCCACTACGTCATTTTTCTAGTCCAGCAACGAAAAAAAAACGAAAAAAAAAGCCCAAACGCACCCAAGAGCCCACAGTGCATGTCCAAGTTGTGATGGCTGACAGAATTTGGCGCTGCATTTTGGCCACAATTGTCAGGTGTCGCGATATTCGAGCGCCTGTCAATCCAATTTCATTCCTAGGTACATTCATATTCTATTGATTTCGACAATCGAAGAGGGGAGTGGGGTTCACCACTCCAATAATGAGAAAAAAAAACAAATGAATAGAAGCTTAAAAAAAAAATCGAGGGGGCCCACACTGCGTATACTTAATGCGATATTTTAAATGTTTAAACTTTGAAGAAAAATTATGGTTTTTAGATTAGGATATCAGGATTACTATATTTTTTTAGACTTAAATCTAAGAATTTTACAAAAAAATCCTGTAATACATCACATGTTTTTTTCCCCTCAAAGACGAATCCCCAAAACTAATAAAGATGCGTAATGGTCGTCTGCGCACAAATATTGGAAAATAATTACAAAGGCAAAAGCTTTGCCAGAAAGCGAGTAGAAAACCCACACAAGAAGACAAAGGACATGATGAAAGGACATTCAGAAAAGCTCAAGAATCTACAAAGAAGAATCTGTTCATTAAGTGAATCCTGCGAATTCTTCAATCTGAGTTCGTCCTTTCCATGACCACCCAGCCAACCACCCCTCACACTGCCGTTATCCTTTGCGGTCGCTGAAAGCAGCGCAGCGCATGCAACAATTGTTCCCTGGGTCACGCATGCCAGTCAGGGGAGGGGTGGAGAGGAGGGAGAGACGGAGGAGAAGGGTGGCGACGACGGGGGTAGCCTCTACGCAAATAAAGAAAAAATATGTGTAACAGCAGCGCAGAATTAACGCTCTCGAAGCACTGCAAACTCTTTAACAATTCTCTCTTTCCCTTGGCTCCCGCCTTTCGTCTGCTCCTCCACCCACCGCCCAAATGCCACCCACTACCTCCCCGACCCGCCCTGCTTCATTTTCAATTTCAATAAATAACCTTGATTTAAGCAGCAGCGGCGTCGACAGAGCAGCCAGCGTCAGCATTTGACCAGCTGCAATACAAACACAGCAGGGGTGCTCCCCCCACCAACACCCTCACACATGCACACAGACGGCTGCACTATAGGAAATATGACCACTTTTTCTGGCCAAAAATAATATCTCATGAACGAGACAAGATATTTAAGTTCTGATTTTTGATTTGAGTTCACATGGTCAATAGATTCAATATTTGAAAAAAATGTGGGCGTGGCACCGCCCACTTTTTAAGAAACACATTCTAACTCAAAAACTAAGCAAGATATTTAAATTTTGATTTTTGATTTGAGTTTATATGGTCAAAAGAACTCATAAATGAAAAAATTGTGGGCGTGGCACCGCCCCTATTTAAAAATAACATTCTAACTGTTCGGTTTTCCACTAGTCTCACAGCTAACAGATTCACAGTCAAGGTGTTGAGGCTGCCTCCTTAAATTATGAATTTCTTCGAAAGTGCATTTTTATGCATATTCATATTTCACTCATTTGAAGAAAATTAAACAATCTACAACATGGACTAAATTACATTGTCCGACTCCGCCAGACTTGGTTTAAATCTCTTTTAAAAATGTGATTTATTTCTAAAAATTTCTTATGCTAGACTGCTTACATTTTCACTTTATTAAAAGGACAACACAAGTTTTTGGACACTTCACATACACAAACACACAATACAAACCACTTAAAAAAGTATTCATTTCAAAACTTTTATTTTGTCCATAAAATTTTAAGTATTCGTGTTTTTAAAATCGCACCAAAAATCGTAAATTCTAAGCTCATGTAAATGTTAACATCAACAGCTGTTTTTAACAGCTGTTTTCTTCGCAGTGGCGCCATCTATGAAAATTTCTGGTATGCAACATTAAAAATTAATCTATTGTGAATGATATGCAGTTAAAATTATTTAAATCCTGTAACTTTCAAAAAATGGTTTTTGGCCAGAAAAAGTGGTCAAATTTCCTATAGTGGGCTGGCAGACCGGCCCCCATGCACTCACACACACACACACACACACAGAGACATAGACGAGCACCTGTCATGGCTCTCAGTGCAGCTTTTTGGCTCTTTCCGCTCTCCCATGGCACTGCAGTTGTTTCAGTTATGTTCTATGTTCCGTTCCGATTCGGTTTCGTTTCGTTTCAAGCGCAGCTTTGGTCCCCTTTTCCTCAGCAGCTGCGGCTCATAAATCAAAACAAGAACTGCACACCATCATGGCGCAGGCGTCGCTCTGCTCTCTGCTGCGCTCACTGCCGCTCAGCCGGCATATATCATTTTAATGGGGAAACTGTCCGATGCTCTCCTCGCAACTCAAGAGAGTTGTCAGTTGACGAGCGGCAGCGGCAGTGGCAGCGGTAGTGACAGCGGGCAGCGCTGTCGACTGGAGCAGGGCCATTATTGGGGTAGTAGTAGTATTGGTGAGAGCGCGCGAGAGAGAGAGTATGGCAGCGAGAGCGTAGAAACGTCGACAGAGGGCTCCAAGTGTCGTTTAAAAGCATCAACAACTCAAAAATGTTTTTTTTCGAAAAAAGTCTTTCGACGGGAAAGGACTGTCGCTCGGCGTCGCAAAAATGGCAAAAATTACATAGATACACTAGGACGGAACGAAATCATGTCGCACGTTGCCATTGCCATTGTTGTTGAGTTTCCGGTCAGGAGTGGAAGGCAGCGAAGACAGCAGCTTAGCTTATTTTCTCAAAAAAATATACAAGATTTTCAAAATCTCTAGTCCTCGTTAAAGAACAACGTGAAAAATACAAAAAAAATAAAATAAATAAATAATCGTAAATCGTAAATCATTAAATTAATAGCCTTACCAATACTAATACAGCTAAACACACAGCTGTTGTGCGGACAGAAAGTGTGGAGAAAGAAGAGGAAGTGAAATTGGCGGCAGTTTGACCGCAACAACAACAACAATAACAACAAACACTCTTGCAACACACACACACACTCATTGATTCGCGTTCGTCATCAGTCGTCGGTTGTGCCCCAGCGCCTCCCTACCCCCCAGCACCCCCAATACCCCATCACCTCGCCTCCCTGGCATTGTGACATTTGATTTATTTGACGTGTGTGTTTTTGATAGAAGCTCAACACGAAACTGACACGCAAACACACACACACGCACATACACCACCGAATGGCTCAAGAATTTATTTGTTGAACAAAAATAAAAATAAAAAAAAAAAAATCCAAAGCATTCTCTCACTCGTTAAGTGCGTTTGTCGTTCCGCGTATGTTTGATGTGAAAAAAAAAGTGACAACCAAATAGAATCGAAAACCAAAACCCCAGAAAAACACACAAAAATCTATCGCTATCAATGGCCAGACGAAATTAATTGCCAAACAGCCAAAACAGCAGCCAAAATTAATCTAGAAGACCCCCGAAAATAATCTCACAACAAAATGATGCTACACGAGGCTGTCATGCTGGAAATCTATCGCCAGGCTTTAAGTGCAAGGTGAGTGATTACTTCACCCCCACCCATCGATCCCCCAATCGCCCCACCAGGCCTTGCCACCGATTTTTTTTTCATTTGGAAATTATTTTTATTATTATTTTACTTAGGTGTTGGAAAGGTATTGTTTTGTGGAAAATTTTAAAAGGGTTTGCATCCCTAAAATGTCCTTTTAAGCACTACTAACATTCAGAGCTATAAGCTATCGAAATTCAGTGTTAATTTAAATACTATATATGTTCTTCATAAAAATACTATATAAGCACTACAGCCATGAATTTAATATCTTAGTTTAATTTGACCACCGAACTGAAGCTGAAGTCTCCTGCAAAGCTAATAAATCCTGCGAATTGCCAAAAAAAAATATTATTTTTTTCGCGAATTTTATTATTTTTCCATACAAACCATAATATTATTTAAATTTTCAATTCAAAATTAATAAATACAATTTTTGAATATATCGTTCTAACCCTAGGTCCCTTGTTTCCCCAAATTTCAGTGAGTTGGCCAGCCCGCGATGCCAATCCCGGGAATCCAACACCTCAACGGGAGCCGGTGTGGTACCCAGTGATGTCCGGTGTCCTTCGAATGAGTCCCATTGCTCGGCCAACGATTGCCTGACCCCAGCGCCAACACCGACTCCCACGGCCACGCCTACTTCTCCACATCCCGTGGGCCTGCCGTTGACGGCGACGCTTCCCCCCGCGGCTGCAGCTGCTCTGTTGCCGCCGCAGTCGGCGGCGATGGCTGCCTACCTGGCGGCCGCCCAGCAGAATCACCTGCTGCTCACGAATCCTCTGGCGGCGGCCGCTTCGCTGGTCCAGCAGGCGACCCAGCAGGCGGGGGACTCGCCGCCAGCGCTGGACTTTAGCAGGAAACGTGCCAGCAGCGAGGGTGACGACGACGAGGAGGAAGAAGAGCCGGAGCATGGTCCAGAGACAGAGGCCGAGCAGGATGTCCAGGGCGATACTGGACCACTGGACCTATCGGTGAGTACGCGGAAGAGGCAGGAGGCACCCGACTCCCCGCCAGCCAGGAAGGTTCCGCGAAGCATCTCGGCCGACTACAAGTCACCCCTGCCCCCCGGCAGCTGGGTGCCTCCCATCAACCCCTACTTGGCAGCCGTGGCGGCCAAAACTGGTGGACTGGGCAACCCGAAACTGGGGCCAAGCGAAGCCACCAAGGCACTGGAGAAAATGAGCGAGATGAGCCGACTGGAGACGCCGCCACCAGGTAGCCGGAACTCAGCGGGTGTTTCCACCTCGTCGTCGTCGTCCTCGGGATCCGGGGGTGCGGCGGCTGGAGGCGGCACCACTTCCGGTGGCCGACACAGTGCCTGGCAGTCCCACTGGCTGAACAAGGGAGCCGACACGGCCAAGGATGTGTTCAAGTGCGTGTGGTGCAAGCAGAGCTTCGCCACCTTGGCCAGCCTGACCACCCACATGAAGGAGACGCAGCACTGCGGCGTCCAGATTCCATCACCCTCCTCCTCGGGGGCAGCAGGAGCCTCGAGTGCTCCTCCCGCTTTCGCGACTGCCCCCTCCACGTCGAACTCGGCCTGCTCCAGCAGCAGTAGCTCCACGTCCAGCTCCTCCAACTCCTCCAAGTCGGAGCTGAACATGCTGATCAAGGAAACCATGCCGCTGCCCAGGAAACTAGTGCGCGGCCAGGACGTTTGGTTGGGCAAGGGTGCGGAGCAGACCCGCCAGATCCTCAAGTGCATGTGGTGCGGCCAGAGCTTCCGGTCGCTGGCCGAGATGACCAGCCACATGCAGGAGACCCAACACTACACGAACATCATTTCACAGGAACAGATCATCTCCTGGAAGTCGGGCGACGACCGGGAGCGACCCTCGAACGGTAGCCAAGGACCGGGAGGACCCCCTTCGGCAGCTGCCTCGGCCGCTCCTGCCCCTTCCAATGCCACGGCCGCCTCGGTAAGTGCTGTGCTCACCTGCAAGGTGTGCGATCAGGCCTTCGGCACCCTCAAGGAGCTGAGCAGCCACATGGCCCAGCAGTCGCACTACAAGGAGTCGCCATCCTCGTCCGTCTCCCCACCGGCACCGGGTGCTGGCAACTCCAAGAGGGCCCGGCAGAATCGCAACGAGAAGCGCAAGAAGTCGCTGCCGGTGCGGAAGCTCCTCGAACTGGAGCGTTCCAGCTCCAACTCCAGCCTGGACTCGGCCCTGAAGCCGCTGCGGGACTTTGCGGCCGCCACGAAGATCACCTGCGAGAAGTGCGGCAGCAAGATCGAAACAGCCTTGTTCGTGGAGCACATCCGCAAGTGCCTGGGTGAGAGCATACCCATCCCGCCTAGGAGGCCAGCGCAGGGTCTGGATCGCATGCCGAGCCCCAGCTCTGGACTGGGTGGCGAGAAGCCTCCGTCTGTGCTGAACGCCCTCGAGCAGCTCATCGAGAAGAGCTTCGAGTCGAGGGGCGGAGGCCGTAGTCTGGGAACCCCTGGGGGCTACTCCGAAACTGGAACTCCTCTGGGGGCCAGCATTCTGAAGCGTCTGGGCATCGACGACAGCAGCGACTACACCAAGCCACTGATGGACGCCCAGGCGATGCACATGATGCGCTCCTCGTACGCTTCCCGAGATCGCAGTGCCAGCGAATCTAGCTCCGCCAGTCGAGTGGAGTCATCCTACACTCCGGACAGGCAGCAGGCAACACCTCGCAGGACTCCGGATACGCCAGCGCCGCCTCCTCCGCCGCCGCCACCACCCGCTACGATCAAGGCGGAGCCCATGGAGGTGGAGCCGCAGGCGGGATCAGACGACCGAGAGGGCGGCAGTCCCAGGCAGCACATTCAGGTAAAGAAAGAGTTCTCCATGGAGCCGAGTCGGGAGAGTCCACGGTCGGCCAGTGAATCGCCAGCGCCCCAAACGGGAACCGCCCCAGCTGCGGATAGTGGCAGCCTCCTGGCCCTGAATTCCATGTTCGATCAGCTGAGCGGGGCAGAGACCAACAACAACAACACAGGTGAGTTCAAAGGTTAAACTTTCCCCTTTAAAAATCTTCCTTCCACATCCATATCTTCCTATATTTGATTCCTAAAATATACTAATCTAAAAACTACAATTTCCTTACAGGACACTGCTTTAACAACAACAATCCTTCGACCAACATCTCCTCGAAAAAGCCCAAGGCCCATCCTTTGGCGGCTCTCCAAAAGCTGTGCGATACCACGGACCCCCCTGCCTCGAACACACGCAGCAGTGCCTCCTCCACAGGATCTGGATCGGCATCGGCGGCGGTGGCCTCCTCGAACGGCAGCGACCTGGTGGCCTTCAGTTGGGCCTGCAACGAGGCTGTCCTGAGCGCCAGCAGTGGAGCTGGCGGGGATTCGTCCATTATCAAGTGCTCCTTCTGTGATACGCCGTTCGGGTCGAAGGGCGCCTACCGCCACCACCTCTCCAAGGTGCACTTCGTGAAGGATGCTGGCGAGGATTCGCCGCGTCTAAAGTCCCCGATGGCCCAGAGTCCCTCGCCGAAGAGATCTACGTCGCGGAGTCCTGCGACAGCTATGCAGCAGCAACCGCCTCCATCGCCCACCATCAACCCGTACGACGAGAGTCCCCAGTCCAAGTTCCTCAAGTACACGGAGCTGGCCAAGCAGTTGTCCTCCAAGAATGCCTAAGGATCCAAGGATAAGGTTTAGGGATACAAACAAGTCACTTTTTTAATGTTTTAGTATTTTTTGGTTTTTTAGGAAAACAGTTTCAAGAAATATTTCAAGTGACTTCTCCAAAAGGATATTCTGAAAGGATATCCCTTATAATTCCCAACTGTAAAGTCAAGAACTGAGATTCGAGGACTCACTCTCTGCAGTGATTTCTGATCGCCGAGAGTCTGCGAGATTTGTTTGCTAATTCGCGCTCTTGAGCGACTCGTTGCTCTCCCCCAATCTTTTGCAGTCGCTCTCTGTGGCGCTCACTCAATTTGGGATTTCCCCTCTTTGCTGAATTGCCAAGCATTTCCCCTGACATTCCCCAACATGTGACGTCACCTCGACGAAGTGCTGGTCCGTTTTTATTGTTTCCCAATCGGACATCATGCTATCGCACTCACAGTGCAAGCGAGAGGCAACGACGAGTGGAATTCAATTACCACCGTTTGACGAACTGCTGTCGGGGAGCCTGATGAGACGGCTATATAGACGGTACGGGCATGAACAGTTTGACGAAAGGCGACGACACGAGTTCGTCAAAGTTGGATTGGATGGAGGCATAGACCTTCCTCCAACCCCAACCCCAACTACAGACCGAGACCGAGTGGTTGGGGAAAGATAGCCGGGTAGTGAGTGAGCCAAACTATTGAGCGGAACTGGTTTTCGAGTGCGAAATAGACTCGACTCAAAGATAATACTATAAAGATTATTTATTAATTATGCCGCAGTTCCTGGTCTAAAGAATCGAATAGAAAGCGTGCCAAAAAAAATTCAAAATACTTAATTATAATGCTAAAACAATTAAATCACTACACTTAAGCAATTACAAACGAACGAAACGCAGTATACGTAAACAGAAAATTTAAAAATGTTAACCTCATTGACGATTGCATTTTCCGTTGGCAAGAATCTTTTAACCCTAAACGAGATAATGCATCAAATTAATGTAAATATTTAGCTAGTAGCACTTTCCTTCCATATGTCTAAAGATTATCAATATATATATATACATACAAAGAAAAGATATAGAAAGTCGAAATCAAAAGGTAGCCACAGCAACGCATGTATACGCAACAAATTATAGAGAAACAATTTTAAAAATTATATATACTCCAACATATGAACCTTATATATAAAAAAAAAAATATATATATATACACCCATGTATACCAGCAACTCCAATCTCAACAATAACTAAGATGTATACCTACGTGAATCTTAATAATCTAACCTAAGATTTAAACCTAAGAATTGCAGAATGTAAAACATTTCATTATCTATCAACAACAATCATTATCATCGTAATCTATTGTCGGATATCATTTAAATCTACGATATACTACGATAACTATGTATACGACTTGTATTTGAGTTTTTGTGATATTATTTTTAAATCGAAACCGTTTGCTTCCTTTTGACCTCACGACCCTAGTCCCAATGTCCCCTAGACCTGTACACCTCTTGTATCCTGCAACACCTCCCACCCCCTTGAAAACCCTTCTAGACTGTAAGTGTAAGTTATATAATAATGCAATAAAGGCGCAGCATTCAAAATATAATTAAAAATTATTTTCTTTTCTTGGAAATTGGGGAAATTTAAAAAAAAATAGAAAACTAACATCGCTCTAAACATTACTGGTTTTAGCCAGCTTATGGTAGTGGCCTTAACCCCAAGTCCCGCCAAAATCTCAGCCCAACTGCCAAATAAAGCAGACCTCCCAAAAACATGGCCTATCAAATTGTAAACTAATATTTGCTAATAAACACGCCGAGTTAATTAAACCTGAATTATGGGGCACATGGTTATGTTAACTCCACGGGGTGGGTCGCTGGGTATGTGGCAGGAGGCAAAGGATGATGCAGGAACAGGAACATGCGCGAAATTTGAACGCGATTCGCTGATTTATGGCCAACAAAGGATTAAGACAACGACATCCAGATACTGATATGAACTTCATACGCACACAAAATGCCCGCTCTGTCTCTTTCTACGGGTCTAGTGCCCTCTCTTTCGGCCGGCGTGCTGATGACGATCCGACGCCAACAAAAATCTCCTCGAAAACTTCAATTGCCAAAGGATTCATTTTCACTTAAAATTTATGATGTGTGCGCATTGTGGGCAGGCTGAGCGGTGGGGGCGTGGCCAGATAATACACAAAAAGAAAAATATAGAAGCCTTAAGCTACCAAATTCAAGCAAAAGCTCTATAGATTATTATCCTTTTTCTTGTAGCTGGAAACTTATGAAATAAATTTTTCTCAGTGCATATTATACATACAAAGTACATATGTATGTATATGAGATGCCTCCGGGGAATGGGCTGGAAGTGGATGTGGGGAACATGTGCTGGGTGTCACATTTGTGTTAAGAGATAATTTTTGGAAAATGTTTCAAACAACTTTTGTGGCCCGCCTCAGTTTTCAGTTTTGCTTCATTGATGGCTACGCTTATTTTTTTGGGTGGGGGGGCGTTTGGGGGCGTAGGCTTAAGCGGGGGGACGGGGTACGCCCGGGGTTTTCTTGCCTCCGAAAGTTGTGCATGGGACACCTTTGGGTTGACCCCCTCCGCCAGCTGCTGCTGCTGCTGCTGCTGCTGCTCCTTCGCTTAATGAGATACAAACACATAAATTCTGAAAAGTGTCATGCATCGCACATAACGGTTTACTTTTTTGCTCTTTGATAAGCCAACAAAACTGCCGACACTGACAATGTCTCCTCTTGTATGTGTGTATGAGTGTGGGTGTGCCAGTATGGCAGTGTGGGTGACATCCTGCGATGTGTGGGAAAGTAAATTCCTTTGCCCTAAGGCTATAGACAAGGAAATCAAGTTTATATGGCAAAATGTCAAGATCACAAGATGAAGGAAAATATGGAAAATAATACATATATTATAGTGTTGGAAAAGGGACTTTGTTACAAAAAGAGTTTTAAGAAACTGTTAGAGGTTATCTTATAATCTAATAAAAGTTACGAATAATTAACTACTATTAATATTCAAATATATTTTTATAAATAATAAATATATAAATCATTTTATAAATATTATTTTACCTTTTATAAAATTCATAAAACATGAAAACCCATCCCTAAATATCCCACGTTGTCAATTCGTGTGATAATTCCACCCAAACCAGGCGATCCGACCGCCAAAAAGACCAAACCCACTAAATGAGCTTGCGAAAATCTCAGCTCACATTTACAGATACATATGTATATGTAAGCTAGTATGTGTTGGTGTGTCGGTGTGTGCAAGTTCTGGGTGTTTGTGTGCTCATCAGTGAGCCATACGCTTGCCATATATCCTGTGGCATGCATAAAGAAAAGTGTAATAAAATTTGATTTATTGTAGACAAGATTCGAGTTGGATATGTTTTCCCTCTACTCGTGTGTGAGTATATATGTATATAAAAGAGTATCTATGTGTGTTTTTGTAAGCTTGTGTGCATTTCGCATGCTCATTCGCTGCTGCTTCCACGCCTGCGTCTCGCTTACGAGCCAAGCTTTTATATGGCTGCTGGCATCTTCTTCCGGCCCCCCCCCCCTTAGATGCCCCCCATTTTTGCGGAATTTGCCACCAACCCAGAACACCATCCGCCCCCAAGGCGACTCATGCATCACTCGACCAGATATCATTCATCTCGCTTGCTGCCGTTTACCTCGGCACATTACCCCTACCCGACCCTCTGTGGCACCACCCACTCTGGCACCCACACAATCGCATTCACATTTTCTGACACTTTTGCAAAACTTTTGCACTGCAGGCGTTTGTCCTGCGTCCTGCGTCCTACGTCGTTCGTCCTGTGCCAGTCTCATTAGTCCCGCCCGGGCTTCTGGCTTCTGTTCTCGGTTTCTTCATCGCCATCATCATCATCGCATTCGTCGCATGGATCTGAATTCGTATCTTTTTTGTTTCCTATTTTGGTGGTGGGTGGGCGTTACTCAGAGCTGTCTGCCTGGGTTTTCCTTTTTTTTTTGTTTGTTTTCTTTGGAAAATGGTGAAAAATCTTGGGATTTGTAAGGCGGAAAGACAGATGGAGAAAGTCTGTTTCTGTAATTGCAATTTTGTAATTATTTAACTTGCGAATGGGTTGACGATTTCCCTTATAAGAGTACAGTTTATCTATGTTGGGGGCCAGGAAATAGATTTTCTTTAAAATAAAGAAGAGTATATCAGAGGATCCTTACTTTACATTCGTAAAAATGCGTAAAATATCTTTTAAATATATGAAAAGAAAAATATTAAGTATACGCATAGTGGGTGAAAGTTAAAACCTGCTTTTGGGAAATCGTAAAAATTATTATTTAATATTATATACTATTTTCACAAATTTTTTTTTTTAATATTACATAAATTCTTCAAAAAGAATTGAAACTAAAGATTTCGATCAACAGGAATTAAAAGAAAATAATAAGAGCAAAATATCACGCATACGCCTAGTTGCCAAAAATCGATGCATTCTTGTCAGAAATTATAAGGTATTTGCAAGACACTGCACTTATAGGTTACAAAGATGTTTATAACTTTAATATACAAAAATCAGTAAACGATAACCAGTAATACATAATATGTACAAAAAGTGTTAAATTTTTCGAAAAAAAATAAAACTTTACTAAATAGTTTTTAAAAGATAAATAATATAATATTTTGTATTTTATAGGTATATCTTTTATGGGTGTGTGTATTTAAGAACTTTTGCATTATGGTTAATGGGAGACATAAATCAAAATACCATTACGCCCGAAAGGTCCGCCCATATCAGGAGACAACCCATGCTGTGATTTATTAGAAAAACTGCAAGCGAAAAAGCCCGAGCAAAAGGAAAACAGAGCACTGGCAAAAGCAGGAGCCATAGCAGTAGTAACGCGTTTCTTTTGATAAAAATTTTGAACTAAATCAAAACTTCATTTCACATCGGTGCCATTTCTTGCAGCCAGTTCAGTTTTCAGTTGAGTTGAGCGAAAACTCCGCCCATTTTCCCCCTCAATCGCCCGTATCCCGTATGCTCTAATAGCAAAAAAGCGAATGCACAACATCGAAACAAGAAATGGCGGCAAAACTAGAAAGTGTAGCCAGGAAAAGTGGGTGTTGTGCTGTGTGTGTGTAGTGTGGTTTGGTGTAGCGGGAGTGTAGGTTCTGGTGCTCAAAAGGATGCCTCGTCCTTTTTCTCAACGGTGTCGCATTCAGCAAACGACGCTGCCGCATCGTTGTCCTGCGACTTGACTCGACAAAATTCACTGCTGGCTGTCAGTTCAATAAATCATTTGCGTTTTGACACGTCGCACCTCCTCTCCGGCATCCCCTCGAAACCCAGAAACTTGCTGCTGCGCCAATGAAAATCCATAAATACAAAAACAAAGCAAAAACCAAGGCAGCCAAGCCAACAACAAGAGACGGGAATAAAAAAAAGAAGGTATAGAAAAATCCAGAGACGCGACACCGAGACACCGAGAAACAGCCCCAAAAGCCCGGCTTCCAAGCTCCATGTGGGATGCACATAAATTCCAAGCTGTAGCACTGCTCTTGCCCCAGAAGAGGACAGCTCTGGATGCTGCGAGTTGAGACAGCGGAAAAGGACGTTGTCGACCTGGGAGAGCCGAGTTGAGACAGCGGCAAAAGGACGAAGGTCCTGACGACCGTCATCCAGCGGGTCGAACACGAAAACGTTGCCACTGCCAAAGTCTATAGATCAAAGCCCACTCCAGGGGTGGTTACACCGAGATGATAGCGATGATGATGAAGATGGGGGATGATGACGATGTCCTGGCAAGGACACTTCAGCATCCACGCACACTCAGAAGTCAAGATGCACAAAACAGAATGGATGGTGCAATATATTGCACCTGGAATGCAGCTTGAAAAACTTTATTTTTTAGTAAAAGAAAAAGAAAGATATGGGGAGTTTTATCATAAAATTATAAAAAATAATATTTCTGTAATTCGTTTGACTCATTTCGTCAAGAACTGATAAAATTTAATGTATCTTAATAGCTCAATTATCAAAAACTATCGACCTACCGACTTTTCATGGTTCATTGAATCTTTTACGCATTCGCAGGCTTTAAAATAAATCAATTTTAATATTTTGTGGATCAGTATAGTATAAACTTTGATCCAATGAAGCTTATAATTTTCGTAGTGTCAATATTATATTTCGGCACTCTCGTTCTTGGTGTGGTGTTAACCCGCCACACGAATATCAAGTGCGAAGTCGTTGATAAGTCATACGCGGAGGTCAAAATATGTCGCCTTAAGGTTTTGGGCCGCAACAAAATCGGGGCATCTGTTCATTTATCATTTAACACTAAAATTTTGCCAATCAAGGCGATCAGCGTTAATCTTGGTGTCTACAAGAAACTATCCGGCTACCATCCATTTGTACCATCCATTTGTATTCAATGTTACTGTGGATCTCTGCAACTTCATATCTCATCGAAACCGATTGAATGTCTTTGACTATTTTTATGGAGCTATGGAGCCTTTTATGAATATGAACCACACATGTCCTTTGAATGTGAGCTTGATTGGTGAATTGTTTTCATATTATTCATACAA